GCATAGAACTATATTAATCAAAAAGAAAAAAAAAAAAAAAAAATAATAAAATTAGAAAAAACTGGATTATTTTAATATGTTTTTCTTAAAATATGTATTAATATACATTTGTAAATTTGTATGTTAAAATATACATATTAAAACAAAGGGATACCATGGAATAATTTTAACAATACTGTAATATTAAACTATAGATATATAAAAAGAAAAAAAAAAAAATATGGTTGAAGATAAAATTGAAAAAGATAAGATAGAAGGAGCTACTCAAAGGCTTGTATCAAAGTTAACAAATGAAAGATTAAAGGAAGAAATATTAAAGAAAACAATAAATGAATACAAGCAAACAATTGAAGTAGTTTCAAAATTAACAAAAAAATTAAATCACAAAGTTATTATTCCATTTTCTAGAATTGCTTTTTATGAAGGTCAAATAAAATACACAAATAATATATACCAAAATATTGGATGTAATACATATTGTGAAAGAACAGCAGAAAAAGCATGTGATTATCTTAAAAAGAAGTTAGATTTTTATGAAAAAAAATATAAAATAATTACAGATTCCATAAATAGGTTAACAAAAGAAATCGAACTTGCTTTAGAACTTGATCAAACTTCCAAAATTGAAAAAAACGAAGATAATTTTAATGCTTTTTTGAGACCTGATGGATTTTTAGAAATAAGGGAGGAATATCATAGTAGTGATGAAGATACAAATAACCAAAAAGAAAAAAATTTAAAAAATGATGAAGAAATAAATTTTGAAAAAGATAGTATAAATGAAACTAAAAGCGAAAAAAATATTGTTGATGACAAAGATATTGATAATGAAAATGTTATGGTGCAATATGAAAATATTAAAAGATATAATAATGAAGAGATAAGTAATGAAAAAATTAATTCAAAAAAAGAAAAACTTGGGCTATCAAAAGAAAAAATGAATCTAAATAAAGCAAATAAAAATATTAGTAATAAATCTTTAAATATTAATGAACGAGGTTTTCTTAATATAGAAGAAAACTATAATAGTAGCAGTAGCAACAATAGTTACGTAGACTAACTTATGTCCATTTGTTCTTTTTCTTTTTACAATTGTAAAAACATGGTAAAAAATATTTAAGGTTTCATTAATTTTAGTTTTTTTATTTTTTTTTTCTTTCCATTTATTATATATATTTTAGCTTTAAATTCATTTAATTGAAACATTAATTTTTAAAATGAAATTTAAATCAATTCTAATTTTTTTTTTTTTTTAACGTGAAATATAAAAGATAAAATATAATTAAATTCAAATAAAAAGTTACTAATATATATATTTAATACATTTTTATATTATAATTGAGACAACGTTATGGAAATAATTTTCAATATAAATTAAAAAAAGTATTTACTTGAAATATTGAAAAATAATTAAAATACGTTAATTTTTGTTATGTGTAGTACGGTGAAGTTAAATATATTAATAATTAACTTTTATTCTTTTGAAGATTTAAAACAAACTGAAATTTCATAATTTTATAAAAAAAAAATATGAAAATACAAAAACAGAATAAATAAAATAAAAAAAAAAAAAAAAAAAAAAAAAAAAAAATTTAAAAAAAAAAAAAA